ATTTTTTTTTTTTTTTTTTTTTGGTCTATGGACCCGTTTTTCCGAAAAAGTGCTGCTTAAAATATTTAAACTCATTCACTTTGTTTCAGTTGTTTACTATTGATATGAATGTTCAGTGGACTACAGTTTAGGCTCACTTTCACAATTTCTGTTTTTGATGTGCTTATTTTCATGGTTCGACAAGGTACCGACTTGAAATTCATGTAGTACAAAGTAGTAGATTCTAGACCTCTTCTGTTCTTGTGCACCTCCACCGTGTGCTTATCTTGCAAACTTCTGCCAGTCTGTTATGAAAACCTCTGTGAAAGAGACCTTTTCGTCCTTCTCTGTCATGCAAACGCCCGCCGTTTTTTTATTGTTTTTTTTTAAAGAAAAATAAACAAACTTAAATAAACAGCCTCCTACATTCTGTTGTTGTGAACTAGAACTATGAAATTAATGCCAAACTTTTTGATACACATTCAGTTTTTTGGCCCTCCTGTAAAATAGTAAAAACTGATATCAGAGCTGTCATTTTTTTTGTACGACTTTTACGGCACTTGCAACACAATAAGGTCATAGAAGTGCCGAAGATTAGAGGTGTTACAAGGGAGTAACAAACACAAAAAAGAAGGAGGGGGATAAAGATGATAGATGTTTGATGGGAAAGAAGGAGCAAACCACACCAGAGCACCCGCCAACCACCCATTCAGAGCTGTCAGTATTTATTTATTTAGTAGAGGGTTTTACGGCACTCGCAACTGCATAGGGTCATATTAGCGCCAAGGGGAAATAAATACCAAACAGGAACTATAGGTGGCTACAAATTCAACAGACGAAAGAGATTAGTGCCATGCTGACAATAAATGTGAGGCAGCGTGGTGGAATCAGGCTCTCGTCAAAATAATCAAAGTGAAGAAACTTGCCCTTTTCCGCAGGTTTCTGAATTTTTATCAAATTTTTGTTTTTTGGCTCAACACCTTTCATGCCCATTAATAATTCATTTCTGTGTGGATTTTTCTTTAAAACATTGATTAAAGGCATAAAAAATGTAAATTTTCAGTTACCACGGACTCTTAAGCTTAAGAAATAGCTTATCTTTGGCGGCCACTTTCTCATTAATTTTACCTCTGAAAACAGGTGACCCCCCACCTCCTTCATTCGCAAATATCTCGACTTGTATTCAAGACAAATGGATATTTTTTCATTCAAATAAAGACAAGAAAACAAGCTTTAAGGTGACACCAATAACTCTACAAGCCCAAAAATTGACGAGAGCCTGATTCCATAGAAGAAAACAGCAGTTTTCTCCCTGCTTAGAAATTATTATCAAATTTTTGTTTTTTGACTCAAGACCTTTTATGTCCATTTACAAACACATTCCTTTGGGGATTTCACTGAAAACGTTGATTAAAGGCACAAACATATAAATTTACAGTTTCCATGGACTCTCCAGCTTTGGAATTTACCAAGCTTTGGCGGACATTTCTCGCTAATTTTACCTCTTAAACCACGTGACCCCCACCTCCTTCAATCCAAAATATCTCCACTTCTATTGAAAATAGATGGGTAATTTTTTCATTGAAAGCAAGACAAATGAACAAGCTTTAAGATGATACAAATAACTCAATATGCCCAAAAGTTTAGGAGAGCCTGATTCCACCACGCTGCCTCACAATTAACTTTACATAAAACTGCCCCCAACCTCCTTTTTTAACTCTCAGTAAACTCTTAACGACCGAAGAGACGGGAGGAAAATGCATGGTCCTGAAAAGGGATGTAACCTTGTAATAACCTCCTTGGTTTTTATTAACGAGAAAGTGAATTTATTTTGATATCCCTTTACTAGCGTGAACGAATTATTCATCATCATCATCAATGCCTTTCACCCCTGGTAGGGTATAGGCCACATACAAGCTCCTTCCATTTATCTCTGTCCTGAGCCATCCGTCCAAGCTCGTTCAAAGTGAGCTTCATTTCTCTCATGTCCCTTTCCATGCATCTCCTCCATGTTTCCCGTGGCCTACCCCTGTCTCGTGCTCCTTGTGGGTTCCACTGCAGTGACTGTCTTGTGATGTTTCCGCTGGGCTTTCTTAAGGTGTGTCCCATCCATCGCCACTTTCTTAGTCCTATTTCGAAGAGACTTGGACTTGGATGATGGTGGAGACTTCTGCCCAGCAGCTTCCTTTCGGCTTTCACCGCCTTGCATCATAAACTCTCCATTTGGAGAAGATCCACGATCAGCCAAGCAGAGATAATGGTTTTTGCTTGTATGTGTTTCTGTAACAGGTCCTTTTTACGAGAGAGGTTGTTTGCCTCATGACTCAACCCCCGACCTGGAGGCAGGATGACTCTGTTTCAGGAGTCACTACCTG